GTCAGGCATGTGGTGGCCGAAATCGTTGATGCAGTGCTGGAGGCGTTCTTGGAAGTTCGCGTAGACTCTCTCCAACATCGCTCTCTCAATTTGGGCGACTTCCACTGCGAATTTCGCCCTTCAATTCGTCCAGAGTTCGGGGCTTGTTCGCGTATACTCTAGCCTTGAGGTGTTCCCTTAAGAAAAAATCGCATATCCATTCCAATGAATATCGCCAAACCTGGAAATAAGGCGACCAGGGAAGAGAGGGCGAATAACGTCCATGGATGCTCGTTCTGTGTGGGCGGTCGCCCCATCTTGCTGGAACCACACACATCAGATTGGAACACGTCGCCGTCGTAATTCAGGGAGAAAGAAGTTGATGATCATGTCGACGTAGCGCTATGAGTTCACGGTAACATCACGACCATTACCGTCTTCGAAGAAGTAAGGGCCAATGATGCAAGTTTGCGATACAGCACACCAAACCGTTACTTTTGGGCTGTGCAGCGGTCTTTCGTGTAACTGTTGCGGATTTTCATTAGCCCAATAACGACAATTCTGCTGGTTAACCATGCTGTTTAGGTCAAAGTGGGCTTCGTCACTCATAGGCGAAAACGCGGTGCTCCACCGTCCAAGGCTCCATAACGACAACTGTTAAAATAATGCTAGGATCTCACGAGTCAAACGGCACCCTCCCCACCTTTCTCGTAGACGGAGGCGGAGGGGACTACCCATCCCAAAAACGTCCGTCCTCTCTGCCGCACCCTGTATAAAACTATTTGCTCAGCACAATGTTTGATACCTGATTATAATAATTCTTGATACATACTTATATACTAAATAATACTGCAAGAAAGAAAACCCGTACCCCGCGACAGACACACAAGAAGTATCTGTTAATATTCTGTTTTAAGGGCAAATGTACGGGGAAATCTATGAAATATGGCTAATAGGTGCGTAGAACTGCCCAGTGGCGTAGCAAGTAAAAGAAGACGCTAAATTGTATGAGCTGACTTCGCAACAAGAACGTATCAACACCTTATCAAATATTTTGTAAATCGCACATATTATACAGTCCACTACGACGTGCACTTGTTTAATAAGAGTATATCATCTATTAAGACTGAAATAGATGTCGCATCGCTCAGTATAACAATAATTATAAACTTTTTAATAATATATCGAAGAAAATACCCTGAATGAAAAAATATAAGAAATAACAAAATTGAAATTAAAATAATATTTTTAATAATACTGATAACACTGGTGAACAAAATTGAAATATTTTTTTGTGACATGGACAAACAAGGCATTCGATTTTTTCTATCACCCACGGTTTTTTTTTGCAATGAGGCATTTTATTTATCGCTTATACTCGTATATATAAGTATAAGGATATGTGTGTAAGAGTACTAATAAACACCCGAATAAACATGAATCTCAGAATGTTGTTGTCGATGTTTTACGGCAATATGTTGCTCCTGAAGTATGTCATAACAATGTTCAGCAATAATCAGCAAGCAAATTGACACTCCCTTTGCCTTGATACCGTTTTTCCATAGCAGGTGGAACCGTTCACCATGTCCATCACTTACCGCACCTAAATTTTCCGGAAAAAAATCGAGATGATAATCCAAAAGGTGAATTTTTAGAGACATGTTACATCCTATTCCTTTATAAGCATTAATTAGTTCACTCACAATATCTTTATAATTGTCCGCCTTCACATTGCCTAAAAAATTTGCAGGAACTGATTTAAAAGCATATTCCAAGCTCGTAATTAAGTTTTATTTAGAGCACTGTCAAATATATCATCCTTCAGGATTTACCGTATTTGTGAACCCACAAATATGCCCTCTTTAATGTTTGCCTCACTAAGTCTCGGAAATGTTTGTTTTTAATGCAGAAACCCTCTTCCATTGCGATCCATAGCTTTCACAAAATTTTTCATCAATCCCAACTTAATATGCAAAAGTGGAAGCAACACGTTTTTGGGATCAACTAGTGGTTCATGAGCGATGTCTTTGAGGCCCGTAGATAATACCTGACGTAGTGGCGACTCCTTCTGTTCATAATGACGATCTCGCGCAGGACTGTCTCCTTCGCAAAGAAAACAACAATATATGGTATATCCCAGTTGCATTCCAAGAAGAAGGGACCCTTAAATCTCCACATATGGCCCATTCATATTTCATTATAACGGATATGCTCTAACAGAACTCGCGTATTTTCACAAGATTCCTTCGTATGAACTGCGTGCGCTATAGGTACAGATGTATCTTTATTACCGTTGTGTACCAATACCGCTTTTAAACTAAGCTTAGAGGAATCAATCATTTGGATCACGTTTCTGTCCTAACGCGTTAAACAGATTGCTGACATCGGAGCAGTATATCAACTCCCTTTCTTGACGGAAACAGTGTGTGAGGTCTTGTTGCCGTTTTCGGTAAAAAGTAATGTTAACATCATCGTGGAGAAGATTCCATCCTTTTAATCTAGAAGCTGAAAGTTCTGACTGGGACTTTGACAGATTTAATTCTCAAACTAAGTCATTAAGTTCGCCCTGTGTGATTAAATGCGGCGCTGTTGAACATCCTCGCAGGTCAAACCAAGGATCGGAAATGTTTGCGCTTTCTGTACAATCACGTTCAGAATTGGTGGGTTCGACTTTTTTATCCAAAGACCAAAATTCTGGTGGAACTGGAACAGAAAGTTCATCACTTTGCTTAACGGGCCGCAAAGCTGATAGTATTTTAAAATACCAGTATATGTTTCGATTTTCGTCCAATAACTTTAATATTTGTGAGGCAAAAATAGCAATCAGTAGTATAGTTTCTCGGTTCTCTCCAAACCACTGGTACCGCAAAGGGCATTTTACGATTGTCGTCACTTAACCAACCTATTAACAACGTTACACAAGTCTTACAACATATATGAGGGGCCCATAGTTTATCTTGGTCGCCAACTTTAATTACAAAATAAAGTTCGTATGCTTTCAACACAAGGAGAGCAAAGTACGTTTTTAGGATTTAAAAGTTAGCTCTCCGCACACCTAACAAAAACTGTTCGCACTACTTCCACAATTTCTAGGCATTGTTCATAAACCTAGTCTCGATCACAACAAACTAAAGACAACACACCGTTTTAACAAAAATTAACAGTACTCAGAACATTTCCAAATAGGAATAGACAGGTCTTAACATTATATATGTGCGTCATCGCATAAACGCCGAGAAATGCAGCAATATGAGATGTTACGTATTGTAATTCATAAAAGTAGATGGTACCGAACATCTGTGGGTGATAGAAAAATTCTGATTTAGATTTAATTTAAGGGTCTCAAAATACATAAGATACACCCAAAAATTGTAATGTCACAAATTATGTGTTTATCAGTGTAATAATTACCTTTTTTGATGGTTTTTAAAAGTCTTGAAAAGAAATGGATATAGAATACCTACGCTATACACTGACAGGTATTTTGATACATTATAAATACAAGTAAATAACTAGTTTTTCACGCAATAATAATAAGCTAGTAAAACAATGGAATCAAGTAGATTTACTCTGCACGCCCGACATCAACATGAGAAAAACAATCCAGCAGACCGTTACTCCGAGCGCTGAGCTCAGATAGCAGAATGAGGCGTGTATCGAAGACATTTATCTATCATTCTAACTTTTAAAGACGGCGAAACCTATGATGTGTGAATTGTGTCTAATAGGTGCGTATACTTACCGGGGTTGGGAGCGTATAAATATGCTAATACCAAAAAATTGAGATATACCCTCCATCGCTTGTGAGAAAGATGAATGAAACAGGAATAAGGATGCAGACAGTATAATAAGAAAAAATCGATGTTTGCCATCGATGGTCATTTTTGTATAACAGCGATGTATCCATGTCATTTTATGCGAAGTTTTGCACTGATATTTTTGAAGAAACGAACATCAGTTTGAAGTGTTCAGTGGCTATTAAATTAGATTAAATAGACCACTGATTGGAATGTTCGCGATGCCCAATTTTACTTCCGCTAAACTTACGTCAAACTATCAAAATTAGAAAGCACTGATAGAAAGGTAACCTATTTTTACGTTTTAACGTCTATTGACACGAACGGCTGATCCGCAAATCAAAATATTCGTCTGTTTATAATTTTACAAATGACCTCCAACCGAACTAGCGCCATCTACTTCTATATTTCCAGATTACCCTCCATTTCAAAAATTGTTAGATTTACAGTTGGAATAATTTTCTTAGGTTGGACTGTTCTTTGTGTCGTATATCTAGTAGATACGTTCGTTTTCAATGCACTTATAGGTAATCAACTTTTTGCAGACTGTATGGTATTAAAATCAAATATACCTAATGATTTATTACATCCGGTATGAACTATGCAAGAACGTAGACCTTGACTTGATTTTTAAAGATATCAAAAATAACGTTCTAGCTTGGATTACAGTAAATTTGTTTAACCTTCGAAGGTAAATTAAGTAATTAGAAAAAATGTGCACAAATTATATTGGTTGTCGGTAATTGTTTTACATAATCACAGACCATAGCCTTTCAGTTTTACGTCTATTGAAGTTAATGATTTTTACATGCAGCAGATTCGACTTAGTGTATAATATTCCCTAAGGGGTCGCTCATAGTTATTAGTTTAGAGACTCCATTGGAAATTGATGAATGTAACTGAGTAAAGGTGACCCTAATATAATTAAGAATCTATGAGGAGCCTTACATTATACCTGGAGGTAGTCATTATGGATGATTTTTGTAAATTAAGAGGCTTCATGAGTCATTTTAGTTAGTAAGAACTGGTATTTTCGGATTATTGTGTATTTCCTGTATCTTCGTTACAAAACAGTTTTTTTCAAGAATCGCCATCCCAAGAATCGGCCCAATGTTTCCCCAACTACGCAAATCTCATGTATAGATCTGATGAAAACAAAAATCAAAAATAGTATTTGACTATCTTCGGCGACATGCGTACTAAATAATACTTTTTTCATTTCAGAGCAGACTCTATAACCTGGAACCCACACAAAATGTTGGTAGTGCCACAACAATGTTCAGTATTCTTAACGAAACATGAAGGTCTGTTAGCTCAAACGCATTCCCTGAAAGCTGCGTACCTGTTTCAACCTGACAAGTTCTACGATACGAGCTACGATACTGGTGAGTTAATCAAGCGAACTGAAAAGAAACTTTCTTGTTCTTTCCAACACTCGCTACAATGAGGGAGTATTGAAACACTCTTGAAATGATACGAAAGGTGTAGTACAGCACTGCAGAAATGTTTGAACATCTGACTATCGGCCTATTCAAAATTTGGTGGACGTCAGACCAATACTTCCCGAGATACTGGACCGTTTCCAAAGTGTTGACATTGTTGCCAGGCTGTTCAAGGAGGTATTTAAAACATTGACGCATGAAATGGGTACACCAATTTTTCTGGGAAAAAAATTTAATCGACGACAAAGAATGAAAACCTGTTTTTTGGACTTCAACCGAAAGTGTTGGCAGGAAAGAGAAAACTCATATCAGATTTTTAGGTATTTATGAGACCTACAACTTGCACTTGTTGGTAATGTGGCGATGGTTTCTCGCAAATATTTGAAATTCTCAAATTCGTAGGATTCGTACTTAATAACCATAACAACATTGGAGTAGATTGGTCAAGGAGTTTTTGAGAATGTCTAATTGTTTATCCCAAAACACCTGTTTTCCAGTCATCACTACCAGCTTATTGAGCAATATACAGGGTTAGTTCAAAGGGCATTTTATAGCAAAATACACTAGTTTACCTTGCCGATATGAATCGCAAATCAGTCCGGAAGATAAATGCTATTTTTATGCAAGAAAGGATGGGTTACGTTTTTTCTTCTAAACAAATTCAAACATTTCGTATTTGTGAGTAATTCGCAACAAAAGATAATAGACACATCAGCTTTCTTTCAAGATGTGTATGGTAACGTATGTTTTTCGAATATCGTAGCGCATTTGTTCAATTACTCGCAAATTCGAAATGTTTGAATTTGTTTAGAGAAAAGCGTAACCTTTGTTTTTCGCATAAAAATAACATTTGTCTTTCGGAATGGTTTGTGATACATATCGGCAAGGTAAAAACGTGTAGTTTGCTATTAAATGCTCTTTAAACGAACCCTGTATATTGCTCAATAAACTAGCAGTGATGACCGGAAAACAGGTATTTTGAGATAAACAATTAGAAATTCTAAAAAAACTACTTGACCACTCCAATGTTGTTGTTGTACGGATTTGAAGAATTTCAAGTAGTTGCGTGTAATTATTGTTGCATTACCAACAAGTGCCAAAACCTGCATTTTGCCTAGTTTGTCGGTCATAACATTTTTGCTATTAGTCAGATCTCTTTACATGTGGTATCATTTTGTAGATCTCATAAATACCTAAAAATCTTATATTAAGAGTTTTTTGTTCCTGTCAACACTTTCGATTGAATCCCAAAAACACGTTTTCTCATTCTTTGTTGTCAGATAAAAAGTTTTCCCATAAAAATTAGTACCCATTTTATGCGGCCATATTTTAAATACCCCCTTGAACAACTTGCACTAATAAAACCAGACTTTACTTATTTCGGGGAAAGTTGCTAATATGATTAGACTATGCAACTATAAAAATTATACAGTTGCATTAAAAAAAAGAAGAGCTGTTTCTGAAGGGTAATAAACTGGCATCAATGCAGTTATTACTATCTGGTCAGGAATGATGGACCTTACTCAAAATTTGACGAATATCAGTCCTCTTGTTACCAAGATGTTTGACAGTTTCCCTAATCCTTTCAAAATCAGGGATTGAAGGGAAGCACACCCTAGATGGCAGTATAGCCTCATTATAAGGACATTGCATGGAAAAGCTTAGATATTGATAGCCTTACAGGTTTGGATCGAAATGTTTTGTTTGGACTTTGGAGGTCAAGCTTTTCCTCTGTTTGGCGTTAGGAAAAATAAAAACACTGATTTTTCGTAAATAAAAATTCTGGAAAATACAACATACTTCCAATATCAATTTATCTAAATTTTTTCTTTTCCAGGCGACAAACATGTCCAATGCGGTCGTAGAGCAGACGTACTAAAGTTCTGGTTCATGTGGAAAGCGAAAGGTTGGTCAGGATTTGAAAAGCACGTCGATAAAATCTTCGAGAATGCTGACTACTTCATAAGCAAGATCAAGGACCGGCCGGACTTTGACCTCATCGTGCCAGAACCAGAATGCACCAATTGCTGCTTCTTCTATCTACCATCCAGCATCAGGAATATGAATAAAAACGACCCTACATATAAGGTAAATCAATATTTACTACTGTCCTCACTATTTTTCTTCATTTCATAGATATTAAACAGCGATACTATCTGTCACTGAAGGATCAGGTTCTCCAAAAGTATCAGTATTATACTCAGTGACAAAAAAATAGAACGGCTAGTAAGACATGGCGTCAAGTAGGTTGACTCTGTACTTCCCACGCAAAGTCTCCATCAGTTCATAAATGTTCAGCACAAGCTAGACCCTATCGAAATAAGACAGCGCAATAGAGCTAATATCCTGGATAGAGGACAGCTGCTATGCTTTAGACGGAAGAAATCTACTCTGAAAAGATTAGTACCTCGTAGATGGTGCTGTAGCTATATGTTCATATATAATTGGCTACACCTCCATCTATGAAACACTAACATTTTCCTAATCATTGAATAGAGGAGAAAGATAGCTGTGATAAATGTTCACAAATGACGCTGGGAAATCTATTTTATTTGTCTCTTGAGTATATATTTCGAAAAGTACAAAAGTATAGTTGTAGTCACCGTTCCTGGCGGTTACGTCATCAACGCCATATGAAATAAGTAAGCAGATCAAGTCTACCGTTAGCGGATCTTAATTTTCCCAACTGAAGGAAACCGATTCAAAATTATTTACTAATCGTAATTCTCAAAAATCTTCTAATCTAGTACTTAAACATGGGTAGAGTTTTTTAAAGTTGAAATAAAAAATACATACGGAATTTACAACATAATACAAAATAACACATCTATTTGCTAACTTGATGACGGGTTGAAGTGCGCACTTTATCTGTTCAACTTCGCGATTTGTTTAAAAAGAACCTAGTGAAAAAATGAAAAAGTGGCTCTATAGCACCCTGTGGGGTTTTGTTTTCAGCACTCTGTGAAAATTTCATCCAAGAATATCAAAAAATAAAGCGTCAATTTCGATGCGCGCAAACCTCTACAAATCGTCTACTGTTTCGTGCTGCCAAACCAAGTGTTGCGGCGCAATGTACGGACTAAGATAATTTGGTGGCCCTATTTCACAATATCGCGTAGATAAGTCGTTCTGCAAATAGGTACTCATAATCGCGATTGCTGATACTCCTCAATTTTAAAGCCGTTTTACTTCCCACGTCATTGGCGAGGAAGTATTGTAATCGCGAAAAATTTCTAAAATGAGACGTTATGTTTTGTTAAGTCATATGACATCTACATCACGAAAAACTATATCACTCATCATCAACTGGGAAATTACCGCTCAGATTTTTATGAAATTTCCACATGCGGTTACTAGTATGCCAAAGCTTTGTAGTTTTAGTCCAGTGGCAACGGTGCTATAGGCAAAAAAGAAAAAGTAACAATTGCTGAAACTCCGTTTTTGACGTTTCAGGGGTTCCTAATCATTGACATAAAAATTGTACTGCTTAAAAAGGGGGGGGTTAAAATCAGTGAAATACGTTCTATTACTAAGAAGCTTCTGATCCCAGTGATTACAGGAAATTTAAGTATCGAAAATCCGACGAATAATGTGCTCACGATTTCAAAAAATCGATACCTGCTCTATATGTTTGACACCAACAGCCAACAGATCTGCAACTACCGACAGTAGGGAAGAATAAATTCGGATACCATTCCAGTCAAGTATAGGGAAATTTAGCGTGGAATTTTAAACTTATCGATATGTCAAGGAAATATGTTTTTGAGAACGATCATTTGGTAGATTTTATACCTGCATTTTCATTTGAATTTCATAACCCGTGAAATGTACCCATTTCGCCGTTACCTTTTATGTTCTGCAGTTTGTGATGTTTTTCTGGATATAAGTAGGCCATAATTGCATAGGGTGCTATCAGAGCTTTTTACAAAATTTTGTCTTTGCGCAAGAATTATGGTGGGTTGAAATGCTCACTATTTGTGTTCAACTTCTTGATATTTTAAAAAGATCCTAGTGGATAAAATCGAAAAAGTGGATCGCTGGCACCCTGTGGACTTTGTTTTTAGCACGCTGCAAGAGTTTCATTTGGAAATAATAAAAAGTAAGCTGTCAGTCCAAGCGACGCGACGGTGCGTTCCGACTAAGAAAAAATGTATTCAAATAATTTTATATCTTTCCTAAAAAATATCTTATGCCGTCAAAATAAGAGGAAACAGTTAGGTAGTTTTTGCAAAGCAATAAACAGGTAGGCTTATACCTGGATTACGTACATTTATTGTCTACTGTGATAGGTAGATGGAGGTGATGCTGCCAGAAATGGATGTGTGCGATCAATAAACAAACCACAAGATTGAACTGCAGTGTCTAATGATTTTTGTATTGCCTTTCTTTATTGCCTTACTACAAAACTCTGTTGGGTATATGATGGAGTTTACTAGAACTTTACAGCTTGTTGTCTGCCTTCTTCTACAAACTTCACCAAATCGAGACGCTGTCAACCTTATCCTCCGATGAAGACGCCACAAAGCACAGTCCTGTGATTTGGTGACTTGTTCGGTATGCAAAATCTCGTCATCACTTTTTCTAAGCTTCCTTAAAAATTCTTGCCTAGCAACCTCCAAATCAATGTCGTTCATGTCAGGTTTTTGACAGAATTCGCCATAAAACTATTATACTATTTTCTTTGGAATTGCTATCCGAATTGTTAGTTATTTTTATATCAACTTTTTTTGGTCTGAGTTTCTTTCCAAGATTCTTGCGTTTGAGTCTTTGTTCCATCTTAGTGATAAGCGAGCTTGGACTAAGCTTAGAACGCAAATGTATTTGGACCACATAGACAGGCCGCTCGGTATTGTGGCTAACTACAGCTGCAGCACATCTTCCATGGTATGACCTCTTCTTGCAATAATTTATTCGCTTACCCCAATATATTTTGCGATTATAGAGTTGAACTGCTCCACACTATTGTTGTCCTGATCATGAATGAAACTCATTGAATTCGTAATTAAAATTGTCGCATTATCAACCTTGATAAATAAATTCACTCAAGAACAATCACACCAACAAGAGTACAACACAACAATTCAACAACACAACATCGACGAACAGTAACAATACTAAATGATCACTAGCTGAGTACCAAAATAGGAAACGATTTACAGGCTAGATCGCTAATCGAAATCCGGCTCTGTTATTATACAAATATAAAAATTTACCTCGGTAGGCACCCGCAGTCATCCTTTCCTCTTTTAAAGTAGCGACCGCCGTCTAAGACCAGCCCACAATCGTTTCCTCTTCCTTTTTTTTAATTTGTGTATGAAAACGAGAACTAAATAATATATGAAATTTTTCACATCCAACACTGTATTTCTATTTTTTTTTTCATTATAAGAAACTAGAGAAAAACTTCTACACAAACACATTTTTAGGTGTCATTTTACTTCCCACCCAAACTGGCGACGAAGTATTGTATTCGCGGAAATTTCGAAAATGAGATTTCTTGGATGTTTGGTGACACGTGCATGTCCCTTATTTCCGTCCGTCTGTCTGGTGTCGGTCTGTCTGTCATCTAATCCTTGGCCACTATGTAACTTGGGAAGTAGCCGTCGGATTTTGATGAAATTTTCACACAAAAAATGCTTTGTAGTTTTTGAAAATCGATCCAATGTTGATACAGGCAAGAAAACGAAACATAAACCGCCCATAATCATTTTCAGATTTTTCCAGGGGTTGAAAATTGGGGTTTTTTCGTTGTAAGGAAAGGTATATCTCAGTTTCTCAATAATATTGCTCGTGACAATATTTAGATACTGTATCTATTCTACCACGTAACCCTTTTAACAATACGAAATATATAAAAACTACAAATGAATATCTGTATACAATAACTACAATATTTGTAATAAAGCATAATTAATGTAAAGGCATAAAAAACATAAGGCCAGTTAACAGTTATTGGTTACAGAATATTGAGTTTGACGAACAAAAAGCGACCTAGCGCTGATTCGGTTTCGATGGATGACCGAGTTCTGCCAAAGAGCCGTTCATTTCGGTTGGTCGGAGTCCAGATCACCGAGGTCTTGATCTGCCACGAACACATCTCGTCAATAGCGGCAGCTGCTGGGGAAAAACGGGTCTATTTGTTTAGGGCTAAGAAGTACTTTTCTCCACATGACTTCCTCACTCCTAAACAAAGCCCAGATAAAACCTACCCTCGCGTATTGCTCACACGTTTGGGGTGCTGCCGCCCCGACTACATTATTCATGTCCAGAGGAGGGCTGCCCGACTGATCGATGACTCACCTCTAACAGACACTCTTAGGACCCTTTCGCACCGGCAGGCCGTCGGCGATCTAGCTCTCTTCTACCGCTACATCAACGGGCTCCTCAGAACTCTCCTGATGATACCGCCGCGCTATATGCCTGCCAGACAGACCCGCCTGACTCCCATTCTAACCGTGTCAAACTTCGTACACTCAGAACTGGCCGATACGACCGCTCCTTTGTCCCTAGCGTATCGAGATTATGGGATAATCCATCTGAGGAGGGCCTTCCCAATTATGAGAGGCAGTTCAAAAATTGGGTTAATAAAATTTCTTTAAGCTTCTCACAGCAGCCGCGGTGTCCTGGCATTTAGGCCTCTGCCTGCGCGGCTGCTTCGGTGCAAACAAAAGAGTTAGTTTATTTAAATTTATTTATTTATACTAATTCATTATATCTCTTTTATACTACAGTCTAAGGAATTATATAATTTGATTGCATTGGAAATATATGTGTTATGAAATAGAGAAATATGCTGTAACGTGTGTTTGAGAAAGTCTATATCTAATATTAATGCCATGCATATTTCATCTACGTATGAATTTGGTTACTAAATATGATGGTGGTTTTAAATAAATAACCCTATGTTATTAGTCAGACTTGGAAGCTGGTATTTATACATTTTATCAATTTTCAACCAGTTGACGTGTTTAATGGCCTTCAATATATGATATTTCCTGAGATCATTTACAAGTCTGCTAATATATTCTAAATACTTTTTTGTTGTATCTAAATAGAGATAGTAAACCACTAAGCAATACGATATTTTTTAAAACAAGAAAGATTCGCACAATAATTGCTTTCTTGCATATTTATCTAATATAGCCGCAAATATGCAATAAAATTGTGAGAATAGCGTAGCACTGGGAAATTAGATAGTTTACATGTTCAACTAATTTTAAATCATCATCCACTGTAATACTTGAGTTCTCGGAATGATCCACATTTGAATTATTAAATTATAAAGCTTCATTTTCAGGAGAAACTGCACAAGGTCGCACCAAAAATGAAAGAGAGAATGATGATGGCGGGTACAATGATGGTTGCATATCAAGCTGTCAGAGGACTGCCCAACTTCTGGCGAGTGTTATTCCAGAACTCGGCTATGGATAAGCCCGACATCGACTTACTCATCCAGAGGTTTGAAGAGTATGGAAAAGACCTTTAAAAAATAGAGATATAATAAATTGTCAATATTCACGAGTACCGACTGTAACGAGAAAGTCAATTTAACAGTCGGATATATTCCTGAATGCTACCCGAGCTCTAAATTGATAACCTCTCAATCATATCTTTATGTATTATTTATGATTTTCGGAACTGAGCGTATGCTTCACGTTAGGATATCATTTTTTCTGATATTGAGAGAATGGTAAAGTTATATTTGTCCCTAAGAGGTCATTGAAGGCTGTAGCTCTGGAATTACTTAGGTTGTATAGATATATATCTAATACTTATATTATAATACTTAAGAAGCTGGTTGATAGTGACATAAGCAAGAATATCTACTACACCTACCACCTAAGGTGATTTTCCATCCAGCGTCTATAGATAAGTGATATGTTTTGTGTTCTTTTTAATCTTGCAACTTCTTATAGTCCTCGATTTCAACTGTTTATACTGAATAAATAATGTTGCACGCCAATTGGTTTCTTTTTTAAATTCATCCCCTCTAACTTTTTTGTATGACTGGGAAATAGTGATAAGAAAAAGTTATAATGTCTATATTATACTGAGTGACAAAAAAAGGTAAGCACCTACGTATGTTTATTAGAATTCAAGAATTTTTTTACATATCGATTCATCTTGCCATGAACAACAAGTGGTAAAATGGTCAGGTTTTTCTGATAAAGAAGCATTCAATTTTCGTACATTTACGGTGTCAGTTAAATGTTAAATTTGGCCACTACGATCGCCTGACCTATCTCCAATTGAACATGTCTGGGACACGATAGGTCGCAGGCTCTTAAATTTGCAACACCATCCACAGACCTTAGCAGCTCTTCCGCACGAAGTTGCAGTCGCCTGGAATGAGATACCCCAACAGGATATAGATCAACTTATCAGCACGATACCCAGACGTGTCAATGAGTGTAAATAAATCGTGGATCCTCAACACATTATTGAACCAGCTTCTGCAGTCAGTTGACGAATCAAGCTGAAAATTTAATAATTTTACTAATAAGGCACACTGAACATATATGGTTGGCCATATTCGACGAAAAGATGTGGCAACACTGTAACTTTTGACAGAGATGACTGATGACATAGCGCGTTTCAAGCATCAGTCTAAGGAGATTTTTGCTATGGAGCAGTACACTCCACGCTAACGCTCTCAGATTGTTGAAATTTACATTCAACAAAACAAGTCAATTGTGAAAACTCAACGTGCATGGAGAAAAATAAATAAAGTGAAAACTGCGCCTTCCGCGACTACATGTTTGTCACCTGAGAACAACGACATGAGCCTCATCATTAGAGTGGATGAGTTTCCTCACAATTACGTGACGTAAGCTAGGAGGTCCCTGTGGATCGCTGATGCCGGAAACCATACTGTCTGTCGCTAGTCAAGCCGTGACGTTCGAGGTAGTCCAGAAGCTCGTGATTTATGCACCTCTCTATCACCTTACTTATAACAGAAAGCAGACCTATAGGCCGGTAGTTGTAAGGGTCGATCTTAGATCCCTTTATTGGGATGGGCTGGACATGAGCAAATTTCCCGTTTTCTGGGAAGGTGCCGGATTCATAAGATATCTGGAAGAGACGCGAAAGAACTAGAGCAAGCTCCGCTGCAACCTCTTCAGTACAATGACAGGAATCAAGTCCGGACCAGAAGCTTTGTTAATGTCGAGCGACAAGAGTAGTCGTCTTACGGTCTTATGCCTGAATGTTCCCTCCCGCATAGTGTAGGGAACCCTTTGAATTGTCGGCACTTGGGTGGAGCCAGGGCAGTATACAGTGGTATAATAAAATTACAAGTGAATTTACTGGTAATTTGCACTAATACGAACATAATAATGTTCCATGTAAATTTCAAACAAGACCATAGTAAGTAACAAGTCGGGTACTTATGTTGCACCAAAACACAAGTGATAGTTTTCTTGTTATTTCAAATACCTTTTCTACAAGTGATCCTAGTTAGGTATAAAAGAATAGGACAAGCTTCTGGTTACAAAAAAGGGCCAGATGGTTGTAACAATACCTATAGAGATCAAAAGATATTTGAAAGGTGCTGACTTTTTGGTGGCATTAAGTTTAGTATAGTCAAGATCTGCACCATCAAATGAGACTACAATCTGCACAAATTCAGCAGAGGTAAAGAAGTTTTTAATACTTTTTAACCGACTTTTGAAAGTACTGTAATTCTTCACAGTTGTTTCTAATGAAATACAATAGATTAATTCCAAAATAATGTTATATATAGGGTGCGCCATCTTTTATGTCGGTATGTAAACATGAAATAACTTTGAAAACGAAAAACTGATTTCTATATATCGGGTATTTTTATTAAATATGGTCCTTTACAATTTATTGAGACTAGTTTCTGAACACAACATCTATCAAGTGGCCACCTTTATTGGCCAAAACAAAATGTGCCCGTTTTGCTGCGTTTTCCATTACTTTTTCGAGCATCTCTGGTGTTATAGCGGCGATTGCCGTACGAATGTTTGCCTTGAGTTCTTCAGTGGTCTGAGGCTTGCTGGCATACACTTGACTTTTCAAATAACCCCACAAGAAGAAGTCTGGTGGGGTCAAATCTGGAGACCTGGGTGGCCAGTCAATGTCAACTCTTTTTGACATCAGACATCTAGTGTATTCCAAGCGACGTGGACGGTCAGTTGGCAATATTTTTTGTGTTAACTGCACCTTATAAAGAAACAACTGCAAATCATCCTTCAAAATGCGCCGCAACGTAGTTCTACGGATGCCAAAATGCTAAGTGCGGTGACGATACGACACTTTTGTGTTCTGGGCAACGCTGTCTCTAACCGCTTCAACGAATTCATTGGATCGTCTTGGTTGTTGATGAACCGTATGTTGACGATCTCCCACTGTCCCTTACTCAAGAAAATTCGAAACCAAACGACGGATAGTGTTGTCAGACAGTGCCTGTTTGCCTCGATATTTTCGACGATATGCACGTTGCGTTAACACAACTGAACGACGATTTTCAATGTACATTGTGACTATTTCGACGAGTTGTTTCGGTGTAAAGCGATTCATGACTAAAATTGTAGTAAATTGACGTTTCAGAAACACGTATAACCAAATCACTCGGTTGGTAAATATCAAAGTCATTCGATGTTTCAATACAGACATAAAAGACGGCGCACCCGGTACATCACAGCTATTCTATTTACAGATTCGTCTTTACCTACATTATTTGAGCAGTACGAGCTCTTTGTCGGGGCAATTCTGGTTCCTCGATGGCTCATCTTTCAAGGAAGTTCCCTCAATACCATCTTTAGAAGTATCATGTTCAATTATTGGACAAGTTGTTCTAAATCAAGGCCCTTTTTTCGGAACAAATCGGCATATTTACGGAATATCATTTTGAAAAAGCTGCAGTTGTAATTTCCGTATGACGTTTCTTACAACTACAGTGGGTACATCCTACGTGAAAAAGTACGATATTTTGTGGTGCCATGCGAGTCAGAACCCGAAGCAGGTGCCGAGCAGTGTGTGATAAACCGAAATTGATACCTTCCTGTAACAATACTGAAGTTATCGATTTGATGTTAATTCATGCAAAGTGTCTTCAAGAAGCTATTTGCACTTCGCAAGTGTATTCAGTTGGTTTTACTTGATGTTTCAGACTCGAGTCGCGTAGGTTTGCTTATATTGTGCAAAAGCCGTTTAAGTTGACACAGTAGAAGGCCAAATGTTGCAAATTCAGGAAAAATGACAAACTTGCAAATTTAACAAACATGTAATCCTTAATCGAAGGTCGTTAGGTTCAAGCAGAATTTACAAGGAAAACGCGACAGGGCAGTACTTAAAATTCCATATCGCATGGATAGTAAGTACTACAGGGTGCGTCATCTATTACTTTTTTTATTCCATTTTTTTTATTGATAATGAAGGTTGGTTTATGCCATTTATGTATGAAAAATAACATGTCATTTGACCACCGCGGCTTCGTTTACAAGCCAACATCCGAACATCAAAATTTTCAATTACTTTTTCCAGAATAATCAGGTCTATGGCCGCAATTTCAGTCCGAATATTGCGCTTTAGGTCTTGAATTGTCCGGGGACCGTTCGCATACACTTTTCCTTTCAAAAATCCCCAAAGAAAATAGTCAAGAGGTGTTAAATCGCACGATCTCGGGGGCCAACTGACATCTGAATTTCGTGAAATTATGCGGTCTTGAAATTTCGGGTGCAATAAGGCGATTGTTTGGCGAGATGTGTGAGCCGTTGCTCCGACTTGATCAAACCAAAGATCGTCGGCACCAATACGATCCAGTTGTGGCCACAAAAATCTGTTAACATGCCGCGATAACGTCTTTTCTTCGGCATCTTCAAAAAAGAATGGTTCAACGATGCCACCAGCCCATACTCGGCACCAAACAGTCGCTTTTTCAGGATGGAGAGGTTGTTCATGATATTGGTGTGGATTTTCAGCCCCCCAGAATCTGCAATTTTGCTTATTTGCGTACCCATTGAGGTGAAAATGAGCCTCAGAAAAGAGAACTTTGGCCAAAAATCCGTCTTCTCTTTCCAGCATCCAATTAAGAATAACACGCCGCTGTTGATGGTCTGCCGGCTTCAATTCTGGTGTTAGTTGGATTTTGTATGGATGGAGGTGTAAATCAATGTGTAAAATCCTGCGTAAGGTGGTCTCACCAATTCCCAATTGTTGCTAACGGTGCCTAGTCAAGGTGGTTGCATCTTCTAGCACCCTTTCACTCACTGCGGCTATGTTTTCACGAGTACGAGCTGGACGAGCATGTTGGTATGGTCTACGACCTTCATCTGAACCAGTTTCCTCAAAACGATTAACAATCCAACGAATTTCAGGCTCTGTAGGGCGTCCATGTCGGCCAAAACTAGTGCGAAGTTTGCGAAAAGTATTTTTTATATTTCGACCGTTTTCGTAAAAGTTTAGATAACCAAAATGCGTTGTGTTGTAAACGAATCCATGACTATAAAAGGCATACCTTTGACAGTTTATTTATGCATACACATGACTTTTCACTCACATGGTAATACATAAACTTAAAGGTAAAAAAAACTAATAGATGGCGCACCCAGTATTTCGCAGTTTCTGTATTATTTTTTTGCTGTTGTTTTAGCGAACGTTAGCCTTGTTATTTTAAAAGTCGTTGCTGTTGAAAATACTTCCATTTTTTAAATAGGCGGAAAGCTTTACTGTTTCGCCACCTAAACCATAAACTCATAAGCTATCTCACAAATAAGCTATAACATCAATTCACAGTATGTGAAAGCTTCTTATGCAAGAAGGGCATATATCCAGACTATCGTCACCTTAGGCACTCATGCTTCTGTCAATCCATCAATTTAAAGTGTGAGAGTTTATGATCTAAGAAGAAATTATATTTCACCAAACAGCCGCTAGTTTGATAGTCATGACTGGTCTGTATCCTGAAAACTCGTCAAATCTTCTAAAACAAACTATCAATGAAGAAAAGAGTCAACAAGTATATTTATATAATAATCATACAAACAATATATTATTATGTAGAAAATAAGTATGTATTTATAATGATAATTTTTCGTATATGATGGTAATTTTATCGAAAAATTGACCAATGACAGCCTATGACAAAATTCGCCACTCAAAAACGGATATAAATGAAGGAATGCTATGCTAAATAATATCACACTACTACTTAAATTCAAATTCAAGACTTATTCAATGCTAGTAAATCAAACAAACATCCAGTGAGGCTTTGCTAATAGATGGCGATCTTTTTAAGATATTTCAGAATTCACATTTTTTATATTCAGTGTCTATTAACGAGTTGAGTTGATGTCATTGGCGGATTTAGAGGTGGCGCACAAGTCTGCCATTTGTTTTAAAAAACAAAATTATATATATTTCTGTATCTTGGTGTAAAAAGCCGCCGCCAACAAACCCCCCTTCCAGAATGAACATCATTCCAAAAATGGATTCCAGATTGCTGAATCAAGCAAACTAAGCTAAACAGGATGTTCCAGAAAATAGTATATATAAGACAAAATAAATAATCATAAAAAATCACATAAACAGGAGTCCTATAATGCCCCCTTACCGAGACAAAAGGTGTTAATGTTATAGTTTCTAAATAAACAAAAATATCTTCTGGGTGGATCAAGATACTAACTTGAGGTTCTTTCCAGTGGTGTGGAAATTGAGCTGTTTGTACCCCTACGTGAGAAAAAAGGTAATTATGAAATATGCTAGCTCTGTGCATTTTTGAATTAACCGCCTTCCTTGAGAGACATTTTTTACTTTTGAAGTCCATATATAAAACCTGTTGTACTTTGAAAACACATTGCAGTATTCGGATTCTAACTCACCATAGTGCTATTTGAACAATATTCTCATGTATGTCATTATTCAGTGTCATCAGTGGCGTAGAAATTTACAATACCCTGTCTCTTGGTAATGGTACAATATAGGGCATATAATTATACGAACTTGTTTTGTTATTTTAGAATGTACTTTCTACTCTAGAAATACTAACAAATACTAACGTTGTACGATTCACACTGTATATGGTAGCTCCTTGAGTAGGTTCGGTTATGGTTGCTAGCGATGTAACCACGGCGTCCTCCCGAGGACGGGCGCTTAAGGTCACATAGAGTAGCTAATTAGAATGATATTTATTTCCGAATAGTCATTTGTGTTCAACTATTAGTGAAAGCACTCGGCTAGATTTAAAATGTATAATGGGATCCATATTCTTGTAATTTCTTAATTTGTTGAAACTTAACCTATGCAGCCACTCCACCCAGTTGGTGCAAATGGTACGTTTTGGAATACCTCTGAAGTATAAAATTTAATGAACATGTTTACTTGAAAATAGAGCTAAATCCTATTTCACAAGTCTCTATCACGTTTTGACGTCTACTGAGGTGAACAGCTGGCAATAATGAATCAGGTGCAAAACTAGTAAAGCTTGCTTATAGCGTTTTTTTTTGTTTGCAAATGAACATTTCTAAATGAAAGATTTTTTTAAAGGTATAATCTATATGGTACAAAAAACCAAAACAATATACGGTTCTGTCTACCTGACCTTGACGGATCCGTCAGAATCATGTGCCATTTGTCTATATAGGGAATTTTGAAATATTACTAAATAACCAGCTTTTGTTCCACGTAATGGTTACTCGTAAAAAGACAATAAATCTGTTTTGTCTAAAAAATGATCACTTACTAACATATTTGAGTCATAATAGTGGTAGCACTACTGATATTTTTATTCTCATGAACATAATTATATTAACATATTCTACCTGAAGATATAAAACCTGTTACTGTAGTTTGAGGTCCAAAAATTATTTCCAATGAAATGAGATTTTTCTCCTCTCCGCAATAATTATCAATCTTCTTTGAAAAGGTTATGGTCTCATAGAAGCTGCTGTAGCAAACTACTGTACTATACTGTATAAATAATAAATATGAGCATATGTGCTCAAACTGTACGCCATCTAGAGACCCGAATCTTTCCAACATAAATTTCTAACTATTAAAGAGACGAGAAACATAGCTGTAATAAATTCTCACAGATGGCGCCAGAGTATCTGATTCCATCTAGGACAGTGTTTTGGACGCTGAAATACACTACATGACTGGCTATATTCAGGTAGAATAAGTTAATCAACTCAACTTGTGCACATCAAAATAAAGTAATCTGATATTGATCAGTCTCTCTACCATCCATAAATGAAATTTCATTTAAACAGAATTTGGTTACATATATACCCCATAAATCTCCAAATTCAGATCACAAAAGGAAGATTTTAATAAAATACCCAATATCAGAATGTTACCAAACCTTACTTATTTATGACATATTGATATTTAAACCAGTTCCTATCATACAACTATCCAAAAGTCGCACCACAGTTACTACATTTTCTCTCCTTCAGCAGAAGACAGCAGAGTATTCCAATTGGGAAGAAAAGAATTGCACAAAGCAGTCCTAAGCAAGTAAAATCATTTTCCAGCACACCAATCTCACATACTGGACAGCCACCTATAAAGTAAAGAAAAAATAATAAATTAATCAAAGGACACTACATCAAGTCTGTAAATTAAGTATCACACTGGGAACGTAGCGTTCGATCTGGCAACGCTGGAGGCGCTGGGCTTGAAGGGAAGACGGGAGCATGTGATCCGCATTCAATACAAGTTTGAACTCGCTCGAGTCGTTTGGTTGTCTGTAGCGATTTTTCCTATTGTGTTCTAAAAATGAATTACATCAATTTCGAGCAATGGTGTGCTCAGGTTTTGCTTCGGACTTGGACACAGTGCAACAGAAACTCTGGCTAAGGTTCAGCAGGCCTATGGAAACAGTGTTTTGTCAGGATTCCAGGTTTTTCGGTGGTGTAAGGTATTTTCAGAAGGAGAAGAGTTGAGTGAAGATGAACCACAAACCAGAAGGCTTTCATCTTCAAGAATTGATGAAAATATCGACATAATCAGAATGATTGGGGAAGAGTTAAAATGAACTCATATCAATACCCACTGGGTGTTGCACCACAATAATGCTCCTTGTCACACAGCAATCTCAATAAACGAGTTTTTGGCTAGTAAAAACATTCCTGTGGCTCCTGAGCCTCCTTACTCGCCTAACTTTAGTGCTTGTGACTTTTTTCTCTTCCCAAAATTAAAAAATCACCTCAAAGGAACTCATTTAGGGACAGTTGAAAACATGCAAATGGATGTAACGGACCAGGTGAAGGCTATTCCAGTATCGCAATTCCAGCACTGCTATGAGGAGTGGAAGAACAGTCTCCAGCACTGTATCGCTTCAGAAGGAATTTATTTTGAAGGTGACAACATAAAATTTGATAACTGTATTTGAATTGAAAAAAAAATAAAAAATCAGTCTCATCACTTAATTTACAGAACTTGTAGCACAGCAAAGTGAATGTCTTAGCTCAGAATGTCTAGGGAGTATGGTATAATGTCTTTGTTCATGGTGTGCCTAAAATTTTCATAATGCAAATCTGCCAAAGAGACATGCATTTATGATATGCACAACTTTTCTTTTTCATACACCATTTTCATCACCATTTTGGGTGTGCTATTGCAAATAAACATTATTTCTTATGCCCCGATGATGCAAAGTAGTCGATCTACAATGCTTATCTCAACTGTCAATGTCAAATATTCATTGTTGGCTCCACCCCCTGACATCATTTTGTATAGCCAAGTGGCCCTCTAATAGTGCTTCTCTACTATCTTGATGTATCCTGCTTTTGAATTATCATTATCCTCAAAGTCTTAAAATTAATTTTGCACAACCAATATTTCCCATCCATCACCTAACGCATCATCACAAACAAAATATAAAACATTCATACCACATTTTAATGTAGTAGTCATTGCCTCATGTTGCCACAAGTGACTACCCTAAAACACCTTACAAGACTCTCTAAACCATATCAACTATGAAGTATGCATGTTGTCAGCAAATAATGCATAATCTGCTAAAATGTATTATTCGCCGCCAATATGAGGCATTCTAAAAGTTTATAAAAACTAGATGTGCTGATATGTCGAGGCATTCCTGCCTTGGGGTCACTCTGCACGAATTTCTATATGGGGACTACTGGACCTTCCAGAGCCAGAGAGTAAGTACCCAATTCATTTTTTTATGTAAGGCACTGCACTTGTTAATTTTGCTTTAGATAACTTACCCCAGTCAACGAAATATCATTACATGCATAAAATCTGTAGGGCAGAATACCACCCAAGTATGATCCTACTATCATACAGTATAGTGTGCAAAAATCTTAAAGCTATATAATTATCAACTAGCTCCTTACCAACAACAACTACGGGGGCTGGCCGGATGATAATGGTTTCAGTGGCATGAGTGGCCCCATAGCTCGGATGGCCATAGATAGTACTAGGTGGAAGGCTAGAGGGCATGTCACTGGATTTTACATTCTGGTGAACCCCTGAAGGAAGCAGAAATTAGTAAACGCTGTGTACTACGTTTCATACTAATAACGTAGTACCATAACTTTACTAGTACGTATAATCAAAGTTACCTGGAAAAGGGGGTGCTGTTGGTGAATATGGAGGTGGTGGTTCCCGAGGGTATTCCATGTCTAAATTATTTTCATACGTTTTATCAAATTGTTATCTTTATGATTCATATTTCATTCGGATAATTTTACATTTGAAGGTTAATGAAAATGAAAAGCAAAACATTTCAATTACTCAAAACGTCAGTGTCAAATTCACTGTCAATCACAAAACGTATACACTGTCAATGGCAGACTCGTACCATGTGCGTAGTGCGTACCATGGTATCAAAGTTTTTTTGAGCTTTAAGGTTCGCATCACAGATGTTCGCACCATCAAAACGTAATATTCATAGAAGTCCTCCTATATTAATGAATTTTGTTTTTGTGATTCCTTCGAACGCAACGTCAATAGAGGTCACAGATTGGCCCGAGTAAAGATAACATGGCCACGCAAGAGAACTATTGAAATACTCTACTAGACTCAAGAATACTATCAGTAGCGAAATTTTTCTCGATATCGTTGCATACCGCTTGAAAAATGGAAATGAAGAATGGAAAACAGCCGCTTTGACGTACTAAATGACTGCGTCATTACCCCGGGATAAACATACGATCTTGTCATCTATATTGCGGCGTTGCCAGCTCATCGGACAATTTTGCTACATCTGCTGTTTTGCCAGAATGTTATAAAAAGAAGCTTTAGATAAAATATTGAGGGATACCAATAAAGATACATATAGAAAAACTGAGTCGTAGCAATGTTTGCCAAAAAAGTAAAAAAAACGTGTTATTTACATTTTGCGTCGCCTGGCGTGTATGCGGCGGAACGTTAATGTCTCTGAACACTTTTATAAATGCCCAGTTTTATAGGATAAAATACTTTTTCGAACAATTGGAAAAAACAATGTTTTATTATATAAATATATTTATTAACTATTTGATCTAAAATTACATGATGATCAATAGGAGAAGCACGATTTTCATTTTCTCTGCTCTTTATTAGGGGAATATGGTTTTTTAGTGACTGCATTCGCACTTGGGCAACCCCTAGCAAACCTCAACCGTCACTGCTAAGATTAATTTGTATCAGGTGAATAAAAATTAAGTCGTTATACAATTCTGGCTTCACTTGTATGTTACAATCGAAAATCGCCAGCATGCCACATTGCCACAATTATTAACCTAAAAAAGTAGCACTGAAGTAACAGCTTATACGAGGGTCACTTCAATAACCTAAGACGCTTTAATAATTCGATATAAATGGTTTGAATGTAGCGAATTTAAAAAAATTTGTAGCACATGTTTTAAATGAATAAGTGAAAGTGGAATGAAATATGACTTTAGGAGAATGATCTTGAAGTGCGTGTTTCTGGAAGAAGGCTTCCAAACATAGCAAATTAGGTAAGTAACTTTACATCTTTGACATCGCTATCATCATATACATATGTAAATTTTGGTTAATAGTATGATAACTAATGTCTAGATAATTAATTACAATAGCAATCAACGTTACTTCAACAACTTGATTCAGTCATCTTTCATCTCATCCAGAATTTTAAGAGAAAATGTTTGGAAATTTTCAGATCCGTATCTGTCCTCATGCCTTCGGTTCTCGGTTTTATAGCCGTTTTATGACTGTTGGCAAAAAATGTAAACGAATACAAACTATCGTTGTCGTCTACTATACAACGTTATTAAAACACAAACGTCACAGCAGTAAAGCACCACTGAGACACAATCGAGAACCCTATAGTGAACAACACTACTAAAAAAAAGTAGTTAAACGGAATATAGCTCTGCACGGAGCTGTGGACGCGTAGACATTCCACTGCGCCGACGGTTGCCGAGAGACTGATGCGTGTGAGTGCTGTACCTCGCTGCGGCGATACGGTACATCCAGGTAGTACAGCCACGCCCCTTTCCAGCTCCCACTCCGTGCGTCCGCTCCCGTCAACGTAAACATCGAGTCGCTTCGTGATACTGTCAGATAAGAAAACGCAGACGCGCGGAGTGGAAGCTGGAAAGGGGCGTGGCTGTACTACCCGGACGTACTGTATCACCGCAGCGAGGTGCAGCACTCACACGCTTCAGTCTCTCGTCAACAGGGCGCAGCGGAATGTCAAAATAGCAGAGGTTGCAAAATCGTCCGATGAGCTGGCAACGCCGCAATCCAGATGGCAAGTAAGATTATCTGTCAAGGCGGATGTCTATCCCGGGGTACCGACTGAGTCATTTAGAACGTCAAAGCGGCAATTTTAGAATTTGCATTTTTATAAGTGTTGTGCAACGATTTCGGCAAACATTTCGCTAGAGTCTACTAGAATACATTTTAACAGTTGTCTTGCGTGGCCATGGTATCTTTGCTTGGCCCACAGATTTTCACAATGAGTTTCACATACACTCGCGAACAAAAAGTGAATCTAGTACTACATGAGGACGATGATGAGAAAGAAAAGAAAATCTTCTAGAGGAATTATGTAAAAAAACCTGAAAAACGTACAAAATGTCATTTTGCAGACTAGGTAGTTTTTAGTCTGCAAATAGCGTTTGCTCGTTTGATCGCTGTGAGCGGCATCAAAAGCGTCCAGCTATGTAGGATGGACTCAACGACACGACACGCTCAAGCATGCATTGCTGGTTGCAGAAAGCCAAATATTGTTTATCTCTGAGAAGATGTGCAAGAAAAAAACTGGGTTGAGTGGAAATATGGCATCTGGATTACACTGATCATTAGAAGAAGTCAAGTCAAGTAACGATTATGTGTATTGGTTGCATGTTTATAGAATCAGTGATATTTGCTATGTGAGAAAATTATTTCTGAATGTGCTGCCAATCTATTAGCTGTGCCCGGCGGGTTATTTATATGTTGTCCTTCCAGAAGATCAAAATGATAAATTACCACCACGCCCGCGTGGTGTGTAAATACTGTTAGCATGTACGTTTTTTTGGATTGATTATTCACTACAAAAAAAAGATTTCCTTGCAGACCTAAATTTTATTATGATTTTACTAATGATTCATTGCTTGAAAAATTAAAGTGGAAGAGTTTAGACCAGAGTTATAAATCATATTTCTTTCTTATCTCAATTCTTTATACAGAGTGAAATATATACTTACATCAAAATAAAAATAGACTCAACACTGGCAATAAATGAAAAAAAATACGTAAATGATTGGCGTGTTTTGAGATGAAATGACTCCATCTAAAATGCTAAAAGATTTTTTTGCACGAAGATTTTAAAATTTTTTAGAGTAGATCACTTTCTTTGAAAAAGGCCTCGCAAAAGTGTTTTGCTCCAGGCCTCCCGTCTGGTAGGGACGGATCTGTCAATCTACCTAGTGATCTATTCCCTTTACTGTCTACGGTATTGCATTACCATGAGACTTACAAACGTACCCCTGTAAAATTGTCAAATGTCGGGCGGCAACCACGGGCCATCCTAACATTTTGGGAGTGACGTATGTCACGTGAGAGCTGTCACTTTTGACACCGTAGAATGATGTGTTCTGTGATTTTACCGTGCATTCAATTTCCAGTTTCAAGTTCATTTGTACATTTATTGAAAATGGCCGCCTATCATAATGATGTGATGTGAATATTGTGATTAAAAATTCATGTACATTGGGGTAAAGACAGTGTCCCAAGAATGGCGTGATGTGCGAAAGTGCTAAGTTTAATGGTGTCAAATCGTATTCGACTGAGATACTGGATCAGAACGAAATGACACTGATACCTGAGACTACTTTACAACCCAGCGAATTATCAAAATTAAAACGGACTTTTACATTTCCGAGAAACCCCTTTAACACAGTTAGAATGTCTAATAGAAGGGCGAAAACTAAAGATGAAAACGACTTGAAGATAGTTACGAACAACACGAACGATAATGATGTAAATAAAAAAGTATTGAGACGTCCATCCATTAGAAAGTTTATTCATAAGATTGCTCAGCACTTAGGCGGAGTTCCTGGTATAAATCAAAATATAGAAAACAACAGGGTGCCCCCAGTGGGGCTGCAAACGTGGGGACCTGAAGACACCCCTGGCGTCACTGGACTGAAGAACCACGGCAATACATGCTTTATTAATGCTGTCTTACAATGTATATCACATACCGACATCCTAGCTGAATATTTCGTGCTAGATAGATATAAGATAGATTTGTCTAGAAGGAACAAACTGAATTCGAAGAAATTTGGGACCAAAGGTGAAGTTACTGAACAACTAGCATTATTATTAAAGGCATTGTGGGCATGCCAATATAGCCCTGAACTGAGTACAAACTTTAAGCAAGTAGTAGAGAGGCATGGGGCTCAGTACAAAGGAACCCAACAGCATGATGCCTTGGAATTTTTGCAGTGGTTGTTGGATAAAGTACATGAAGATCTGAATACTGCTTCGAAGAGAAAATTCAAGTCAATAAAGGTTAGTCCAGCAATGTCAATATTTAGATAGTGAATGGGAGAATGAGTCTAGGTCAATTGTCACATGATCAGTATTTTTGTTGTGGTCCATACCCTTTGGGATCCATTTGTAATGTTATATGGTATAATCTAATCATATTAGCAAATTTCCCCGAAATAATTGTCAAGTCTGGTTTTATTGGTGCAAGTTGTTCAAGAAGGTATTTAAAACATGGACGCATAAAATGGGTGCAACAATTTTTGTGGGAAACTTTTTATTCAACAACAAAGATTAAGAAAATGTGTTTTTTGAGATTCAGTTGAATGTTTTGACAGGAACAAAAAACTTTTCATATAAGATTTTTAGGAATTTATGAGACCTACAAAATGAGACCACCCGTAAACAGATCTGACTAATACCAAAATGTTATAGCCAGAAAACCAGGCAAAATGCAGGTTTTGGCACTTGTTGGTAATGCAAGGATAATTTCACTCTTCAAATCTGTAGGATTCATACTTCTAAATAACATCAACAAAATTGGATTATATTGGTCAAGTAGTTTTTTGAGAATTTCTAATTGTTTATCCCAAAATATGTTTTCCAGCCATCACTACTAGATTATTGAGCAAGATACAGGGTTCATTCATAGAGCATTAAATAGCAAAAGCCACGTATTAATATGAATCACAAACCATTCCAAAAGATAAATGTTATTTTTATGCAAAAAACAAAGGGTATTTTTTTTTCTTCTAAACAAATTCAAACATTTCGTATTTGTGATGTGTGCTATAAAATGCCCTTTGTACTAACACTGTATATTGCTCAAAAAACTAGTAGTGATGGCTGGAAAACAGGTGTTTTTGGATAAAACAGTTAAAACATTTTCAAAAACTACTTGACCAATCTACTCCAATTTTGTTGTGGTTATTTAGACATAAGAAACCTACAAATTTAAGAATTTCAAATATCTGCGAGAAACCATTGTTGCACTACCAGCAAGTGCCAAAACCTACATTTTGGCTCAGTTTACGGCCATAACTTTTTAATAGTTGGATCTTTTTATGTGTGGTCTCATTTTGTAGGTCTCATAAATAACTAAAAATCTTATATAAATAGTTTTTTTGTTCCTGCCAACACAAGTTTTCTCATTCTTTGTTTCGGGCAATTTTGAATTTTTTTTTGTAAAAATTTTTCTACATATAAATTGATCATGATGAAAGTTGAATTTTACCTAGTAAAGTCGATGATAAGTCTGTACAACCATAACCTTTTCAAAGCAAAATTCCCCATATAATTCCATTTTAAAAATAGAATTTTAAAGACCGCTTGTATTGTACATATTTTTAAATTTATTAGATGGCCTAATGTTACATTCTTGATTGATTTTGTTCTATAGTTATACAAAAAAATTTCACCAACATTTGCCTGAAAATATGAATCTAGTGTGAAGTAATTAGGGAGATATTGCAAACATCTGCCTTATTAGTGCAGACCTTATTTTGACATCTACGCATGCGCACATACAATTCTGTATCTATGAGGAATTAATAGGGATAAGGCACGTCCTTATTTAAGCTATAATAGGGGGAGCTTATTTAGGCGTTCTTATGTCACGACGATTCACGATCTAAGCAAATCGGGTGTCGTCGCAAGCCTATTTAACCTATAAATTTGTACTCTCAAAATTCAACGATTGCTGAAGCGTTTTGGTAACTATGAATATGGATAAAAAGAGAATAAGGTTCACGTATGACGACGAAATGATTTTGCTGCGTGAATTTATTGCACAAAACCCTATCCGTTCTCCTGAGAAGTGGGACTCAATCTTACAGAACTTGCGAGAGCTTACGGGAAAAGAATTTATTTTGAGAACAATAAAAAAGCATCTGAACCATCTTCTGGAGCTGTTCCTCAAAAAGGAGGTTAACAGCAAAGTCAAGTAAGTATAAGATAGCACACTGTACCTACATGTATTTTAATAACAAGAGAATGCTTAATGTAAGACTTGGTGAAACAACATTTGTGTTTGACAGGTCTGGCATAGAAGAAGTCTATAATGAAAGAGAACATATGCTCCAAGAAGCCAGCGAGTTAATGAAAGAGACCTGCTCAACTACACCAGCAAAAAAGAAAAAAGTGGAAAACAAAGCGAAAGATATGATTGAAAAGACACGCAATGAAAGAGAGGCTATGGCACTGCTGGCCTTTTCTGATGTGGATGACACTTTAATCGACCATGATTACGGTAAAATAACTATTCTAAACATTTTTTATACATATTACTATATTATCACAGTTTTAGGTGTTTGTGTTACAGTCGACGTTGACACAGAAAATAATAATAAGTCTGTACAAGATGTTGGAACTGCAAAACAGATATCTGTACAAGATGTTGGAACTGCAAAACAGATATCTGTACAAGATGTTGGAACTGCAAAACAGATATCTGTACAAGATGTTGGAACTGCAAAACAGATATCTGTACAAGATGTTGGAACTGCAAAACAGATATCAGGTAAAACAATGATTAGAATTACTGCTTGAATCTTCAGTAATAGAAACACTAAAACAGATCCACAGGTTATGGAGTATGACCAGTAAATAAAACCAGTGCTCGATATAAAATGTGTAGGTACTTATGTTATATACTTTGATAAAAGCCAGTGCAATGACTAACCTGTCAGTGAACTTCTTTTGTTTAGCACTGCGGTTTTATTTACAGGCCAGACTAACCAAATAGTGGATCCAGATGACTACAGCGTATATAGCATTGCCATGGCATCCCATTCAGAGGGCTACTACTAGATTAAGTAGTTTCTAGTATGTTATACATTACCTATAAAACAGAAAGCTCAAAACTACCTCTTACATTTCATGTTCAAGATTAAATACATTTGTTTATTGTTGCTGTTACTTACTTTTCGATCATTACAGCCCCCCGTACCAAAAGGATGAACAAAAGTAAAACATTGAGAAAAAATGGCCTTGATTACCTACGAGAAAAAGCGGAAATATCACGAGAAATAAGATCTGCAGAACTCAAGTTAGAAGAACAAAAAATGGATAATGAAAAAGAAAAAATTGCAAATGACAAAGCAAGACTTGCCTTGGAGTCTAAAAGGCTTGAGGCAGAAATTCAAGAAAAAAAACATAGGATAGAGTTAGAACAAAAGAAATCTGAGCAAGATGTCGCTGAAAGAAAAAACTTGAGTGACCTCATCAAAACACAACAAAAGCTTATTGAAGCATTACTGACAAAACTTGATAATAGATAATTTGCCATTAAAAAAATAATATACTGGCCTTATATTGAAATAATAATGTTGATGCTAAGGATGGTGAGCACAAACCAAGTTTGTTGCCGAAAATATATGAAATTGATTCTGCAACTGGTTCCATGTATGAACATAGTAAAACTGTGTAACTTCAGGATCAAACATATTTCATCCACAACTCCTGAAGAAGTTGATTTCATATATTTTCAGCAACATACTAATTTAGTTTTGAAATCTCTTATTGGGTGCTTGCTGCCCTTATGGTTGTAAAATAAATAAACATACATTCCAAACAAGCTTTATTGGTCTTACAAGTCTATAAAAAATTACAAATTATCATCAAGCGTTACAAGTTAGAAACAACCCAAAATTTAGATGTAAAAGATGGCTAGCGCCATCTAAATTTGCGCTAGAGATAGTTTCTTTGCAAGTTTCGTCAATGACGACGCAGGCAAAGCAGAAACCCCTTACGATTTCTGGTCGCTGACTCAGATGAATTGTACAGAGTACAGATACCCCGGTACCAACCAACAGTAGCCGGCCACCAGAGTCGTAACGCAAGGCGTTCACAGGACAAACTAACAATAGCATTTTCTGCAGAACATGCAATAATATAGTCTGATATACTCGTTTGCTTTCCATTGCAAAGAAACTAGTTCTAGCGAAATTTAGATGGCGCGAGCCATCTTTTACATTTACCGTCTTCCCGCTATTTGATAGACCACATTCGCTTGTTTACTTTCCATTTGTCCGCCTTCACGGCTGGACCTGATACAGACCTATACCATACTGATGAGGGCTAAAGAGCCCGAAACAGCGCTGTCTGCGGTTGGTCTTGGCTGCGGCGATGGAAAGCAAACGAGTATTTCAAACCCAAAATGTCCTCTATTTATCAGTGGCCTATGTAGGTCTCAAGTGAAGGTGGATTTGTATTGAAATACATAGCAGTCTGACTACTATACAGGCATGTATGGCAGTTAGTAAGTAGTACAGCCACCTTGTATAAAGCATCAACGTCTTGAAGTAGCATTTTTTGGTTTTTTGAAAAATCTACAAAGGCAAATTCTGATATGACTTTCTGAAAACCCCATTCTACTGCTATCCTTAGAACTTTCATAGCAGAATTGAAACTCTGCTGATGGGCAGGTAAATCTTCCATTCTGCCATGAAATGGGGTAAATAGCACATCACTCAGCCCATATCCTTGATCACCAAATAAAACAAATCGTCTTGTGTCAAAACATGTCTTTTGCACTAATTCTTCAGAGATACCTGACTCCCTAAATATTCTGGCATCATGCCTTCTTCCCGGATATGCGCCTTTCAAACTAACAATAATTCCATCAGGACAAATTATTGATTGGAATTTTATGCAGTGATACCTTTTGTGTCCTGAATAATACTCTTCTTGATTTTCAGAGGGTCGACAAATTTTCCTTGCTGTACCATCGATGAAACCCCAACAATTATTCATAGGTGCTCCTTTATTATGAATAGCCTACAAAAAGCACATTTCAGCATTTTATGAACCAACCATCACTTCAACTATATTACACAATACAATACCTGTGCATAATACTCCAACTTCTCCCTATTAAACCACTGCAATGAATTCAAATTGTTGAGAAGTACAGCATGCTCCTCCATAATCACACTTATCAATTTATTTATGATTTGTGACAAAGACTGAGTTGACAAGTGGAACATAGGGACCATATCACACAATCTGTTTGGATATGCCAGCCG